GTTTTTCTTGCCTAATTAGTGCTGAAATATGTTTTAGATTTTCGCAAACTAACCTACTAGCCAAACTCAGGTTCACAAGTATTCAATGTACCTTTCATAGTTTTATCGTCAACCCTTGTACATTCCAAAAAGACAAAAGGTGTCATTTATGTCTCGAACTACAAAACCCAAACTATAAAAAAAGTGTAATTATGTCCCTACCTATTCAATATTCCGAAAATGTCCCAACATATGATAATTTTGTGTTATTTATGTCCTTACGATTTCTTCGACCGTTAGATATAACGGCTGATCGGACGGACGTCCATTAAGTGATGATTGTTGCACGCGTGACAGATAAGTGGCGGCCACATAGACGCTACATCGACTAACAACTGCCCACAATAGGGTTTCTGTTGAAGGTACCAGATGGTCAGCTCGGGTGCCCAAACCCAACCCGAAGTACCAGCCGAATTGAGAGTTGAGTATTTAAGTTCATTTGTATTTTGGGAACAATTTTTACGCAGGATATTAATAATAAACTTCCCAAACCCTATCTCCTCCAAAACCCTACTGTCTTCTCTCGTTCTCTCCTTCCAATCACAACTCTCTTCTTCTCCTGATCTTCTTTTTGATCATAGTACCTACAACAAATTGGTATCAGAGCCTTCTTGAACTTGTCATAGTTCACGATGGAGGCTGCGCTACAGAACTTCGGCGAGTTTTGCAAACAATTGACGCGCGACATGGCAGCCGCCAAAGCTACCCGCGCGATGGCCAAAGCGACGGCTCGGGTTGCTGCCGCCGAGGCGGTGACGGAGCAGACCACCGTAGAGGTGGCTGTTGCCGAGGCCATTTCATGCCACGCCCTCAATGGGTATCCCACACCTGAGACAATGCGATTTCGTGGGACAGTAGAGGGTAGAACTGCTCTCACGTTGGTCGATAGCGGATCTTCTCCCAACTTCATCAGTGAGGAGTTTGTGGCTACATTGGAGCGACAACTGAACGACGTTCCGCCGTTCACCGTCAAGGTCGCCAATGGCCAAGCTCTTCGTTGCACACGGAAGCTTTGGGATGTGGTCTTGAATATTCAAGGTTTGGCGATCTCTATGAACCTGTTTGTGTTGCCGCTTCGTGGTTTGGATGTTGTGCTAGGAATTCCGTGGTTGAAAAGCCTCGGACCAGTTACCTCCGATTGGGATTGACTCACCATGAAGTTCCGATGGAAGGAAAAGGAATGGGTCTTGCTAGGCCTCTTGACTGTGTCGGGTCCGATCACAGCCGATGGATTGTAGAGGGACGACGATGTGGTCTTTGCGACGCTATGTGTGCCGATGGGCGCTGAGCAGCCCCAGGGCGAGTTGGATCCCGATATACAGGAGCTTTTGGCATCTTATACTGACCTATTTGAGAAACCAGCCGCGCTTCCTCCTCTGCGACAGGTGGACCATCGAATTCAGCTGAAGGAAGGGGCTGAGGCGGTGAATGTGCGACCGTATCGGTACGCGCATTTCCAAAAGACAGAGATCGAGAACAGGTTGGGGAGATGCTAGATACCGGATTGGTCAAACCCAGCACTAGCCCTTTTCATCACCGGTGTTGTTGGTGCGAAAGAAGGATGGGACGTGGCGCTTCTGTACGGATTATCGAGCCTTGAACGGAGTGACAGTGAAGGATCGGTTTCATATTCCTATAGTGGAGGACATGTTAGATAAGTTTCATGGGTCGTTGTAATTCACTAAGTTGGACTTGCGTGCTGGCTATCACCAAATCCGGATGGAGGAGGCAGATGTGCATAAGACGGCGTTTCGCACATATAATGGGAACTATGAGTATCTGGTGATGCCTTTTGGGTTATGTAATGCCCCATCCACATTCCATGCAGCAATAAACGACATTTTCAGGCATGTTTTTGCGGAAGCACGTCTTGGTTTTCTTTGACGATATCCTGATTTACAGTAAGAGCTGGGCGGATCATCTATCACATCTCAGGGGAGTATTCGACATATTACGAAGGCAAGGCTATTACGTGAAGGCTTCCAAATGTGCGTTTGGGTTACAGGAGGTCGAGTACTTGGGCCATGTTATCTCGCATGAAGGGGTGAAAGTTGATCCGACCAAGATACAAGCCATGCTTGATTGGCCGCAACCGTCCAATGTAACCGAGCTCCGGGGATTTTTGGGGTTGACCGGGTACTAAAGAAAATTTGTCCAGAACTATGGTTCCATCGCGCGGCCGTTGACCAACCAGTTGTGCAAGGGCGCATTCAAGTGGACGGCGGAGGCAGACACAGCGTTCCGTGCCTTGCAGAAGGCAATGACAACCATGCCAACGCTAGCTATGTTGGATTTCACGATCTCGTTCGTCATCGAGGCTGACGCGTCAGGCAGGGGAATTGGGGCGGTCTTATCACATAACCGTCACCCTATTGCTTTTATGAGCCGCACGTTGGGACCATCGAAGGCAGGCTGGTCTACGTACCAAAATGAGATGTTAGCAGTTGTTATGGCATTCCAAACTTGGCGACCTTATCTATTGGGGCAAAAGTTTCACATCTACACGGACCACCAGAGTTTGAAACACCTTATAGATCAGGGAATTTCAACGCCGGACCAGCACAAATGGCTTTCTAAGCTGCTCGGGTACGACTACGAAATCCACTATAAACCGAGACCCATAAATTTGGCTGCCGATGGTCTCTCCCGGAGCATGGGTGGAGCACTCTTATATCTCATCTCTCGGCCTATTAATAACTTTTGGGATGAGGTACGGCAAGCTGTCTTAGACAATAAGTATCTGCGGGAATGCAAGGAGGTGGCCTTGTCACCGAACTCGGGTGCGTACGCCTTCCGCCAGGTCTGGTGTTCTTCAATGGATGGATAGTCCTTCCGCCCCACTCCTCGCTGATACGGTCTTACAAGAGTTCCACGACTCTCCGGCGGGCGGGCATTCAGGCGCGAAACGTACGTTGCTGCGCGTTCGCGGGCACTTTTACTGGCCTAGGATGGTCGACGTGGTGCGAGATTATGTGGCCTCGTGTGATACTTGTCAACGGGTCAAGGTCTCGTCGCTTCGGCCGGCGGGGTTGCTACAGCCGCTATCGATACCCAAACGAGTATGGGAGGATGTGAGCATGGATTTCGTGGTCGGATTGCCACCTTCGGGAGGAAAATCGGCATTGCTGATCGTGGTGGATCGATTGACTAAATACTCTCATTTCATGACATTATCGCACCCATACACGGCCAAGACAGTAGCCGAACTGTTTGTGCAAGGAGTGGTGAGACAACATGGAATCCCGACAATCATTGTTTGTGATCAAGATGTCGTTTTCCTGTGGCAGTTTTGGCAGGAACTGCTTGGCATGACTCGGACGAAGATTCACATGAGCTCTGCATATCACCCCCAGTCTGAAGGACAGACGAAGATCGTCAACAAGTGCCTTGGGCAATATCTTCGAAGTTTCGCACACGAACAACCGCGGAAATGGTTAGCAATGCTCCCGTGGGCCGAGTTATGGTATAACACTACTCACCATCGGACTATCATGACATCTCCATTCCAAGCTGTGTATGGCCGTAGCCGCCGACGATCGTGAAATACAGGTTGGGAGGGAGTCCAGTGGATGCGGTCGACCAATGGTTGGAAGCACGTGATGAAGCTCTGGAGAAACTGAAGGTGACGCCAGCTACCGCCAATAACAAGACAAAGCAGATGGTGGATGCGGGCAGGCGCGACGTCGAGTTTAAGGAAGGGGGCTGGGTCTTGTTGCGCGGTATTTCGGGCTGTATCGGGTGTTGGCACGCGTTGGGCAGGTTGCATACAAGCTGGAGCTTTCAGAGGGCGCACGGATTCATTCCACCTTCTATGTCTCCTTGTTGAAGCAATATCGAGGGACGGAGACACCTGCTGAGATTTCAAGCCCTCCGGTGTCCGCTGATGGTGAGATGAAGCTCAATGTGGAGCGGGTGTTGGACACTCATTGGGTTCGCGTCGGCCGGAAAATTGGAGGAGTCCCTGGTGCAATGGCAGCACTTACCAACTGAAGAGGCAATGTGGGAGTCGACGAAGGCGTTGCGGAGCAGATTTCCAGATTTGGAACTTGAAGACAAGGTCAATCTTGCAGTGGAGGAGATTGTTGAAGGTACCAGACGGTCAGCTCGGGTACCCAAACCCAACCCGAAGTACTAAACGAATTGAGAGTTGAGTGAGAGTTGAGTATTTAAGTTCATTTGTATTTTGGGAAGAGTTTTTACGCAGAACATTAATAATAAACTTTCCAAACTCTATCTCCTCGAAAACCCTACTGTCTTTTCTCGTTCTCTCCTTCCAATCACAACTCTCTTCTTCTCCTGATCTTCTTTCTTATCTTAGTACCTACAACAGGTTCATAGGGCTACCAAGTGCTCAAGTAGCCCTAACTTTTGCACAACTAGTTCCAGACCAATTGTTTTATCTTTCTCTTCAATGATCAATGATTCGCCATCGTCTTCATCAATATGTACTCTCTATAACTGGAGCTTAATCGATGTTTTTGAAGGTACCTCTCAAGTTTCTTCTGTCATTATGCTTGCTTTGCACAACAATAAGCTACACACAAGAATAGGTAGAAAAGATTCACTCCCTAAACAATTGGGCACAAAATGCAAACCAACAAACAAATACGAGATATATAGAAAGTCTCTCTTAATCGATCTCAGGGTATCAATCAAAGCTCCCAGGAGTTGCTATTCAGAAGCCCTAATCATAGTCCTCTCTATAATGCTCAATATATGAGAGAATAATTTTCCTAATAATGTACAATCAAGATAGATCATAATACTTAGTATAGTTGTATTAGTTTGTTATTTCTTAATGCCAAATTTCTTCTTTATCTTGTAATGATCTTGATGTTAAATTTGAAATATTTCCTTTTCGATGAGGACGTAGTTGTACCCTTGTACAAGTTTTGATGATTATATAAAAATGTTAGTATATTACCACGATCGCCTATACACACCCTTCCAATACACTATGAGAGCGTATAAGCAAATAGCAAGGTTTTACAACTTGTAATGCCAAATAAAACTTCATGTTCCAATGAAAACTAAATACGAGTACACCAAGTACCTAACCTTTTCTCTATCATCCAAACCTCATTTGGAATTTGTTTCTTTTGATAAATACTTTTACCTTAATCATGAATCAATCAGATACTCCAGCTGCTAAATTTCTGCCACCTGAAAGTGTGTCGACTGATGCACCACAAAAGACTCTCTCACTCTCAGAGTCAACAACAGGCAAAGATAAACATGTATAGTTTGTATACTGTGGAAAGCAAATGCAGCAAGCAATCATCAAATGCTTGACCAGAACAAAAGTCAACAGAATTCTAACATCACTGAGTAAACGCACCAGAATTTAATATGACGGCCAATTTGCTCTTTCACCTAACATGTTCCGTCCCACTCCATCTTTACAAACAGATCAACCCAAGAAAGGGGGAGATGCCGTGTCAGTGATCCAGTTATTTTTGGGTATCTAAATGATGCAGTGATGCAGTAATGCAGTAACTCTTATATGGACACTGATACTCAAATTGTTCGAGTACCGTTAGTACAAAACCGGTGCTTACCAAGAAGATCAAAATGTCAATCTGTCGATTGAAGATCAGCCATCTTCATTATTGTACCAAAAACCCTCCATAACGATGATGTTAAATCTTCTGTTATGCATTGCCACCATTCACATATCAAAGATGGGTTAGGTTGCCCATGCTAGCTCGCTGAGGACATCATAATAATGCAGGACTTCATATTTCAATGCTTGACGTGCATCTGATGTTGATCACATTGACCTACATGCATAAGTTTCCCATACCCATAGTCCCTCACCATGCTTTGGGAAAAAAACGGACGATATCTATCTCTTCTCGACCTGCAATTCGAAGCTCGCAACATGTGATCAGGAAGCTTGGAATGACACTGAAGTTTCTTACACTACTCAGCCTGAATCCGGCTTAACTTTCAGTAACATAACTAAGAAACTGAATAGCACGTTACCTCGCCGTCTTGCTTTATTTGATTTTCAGGTTGGGCAAAGAAACGTTTAGCATTGTGAGCCACCTCGGCCTCTACTATAGCTTCCAACATAATGTCTGATCCATTCAGTTTATCTGCAATTACAATTAATAGGGACACTTCTTCAGTAAGAATATAGTACTCTGAAAAGCCTCATGATTAGCATATATGTAATCCGCAGTTAGAAATAAATGAATAAGTAAAATTATGTAAAGCCAGACAATCCGAATGCATAGAGTCAAGTGTCTGTTCGGCCAAAACCTGAATCATCATCAATTGGATAAGCTAGAAAGCGCATATCATTTGTATAAACTTTACAAAGACTCGGTCATACTCAATCTTTTCAACTGATTCTCTTTTGAAATTTTAATGTACAAGAAACACTATGACCGTGGTTCCAATTTTAAACTGAAAGCAGTAGGAAACTGGCAAGAGGCATCCAACATATACAGTAATAACAGAGCTCAAGTAAGCAGTACTACCCTGACGATTAGGTAGCATTCCAGTACTTTCAGCCGAAACAGGCAAAACATGAAGGAGACCTGGACCATCAATCTTCTGTTCCGAGTCCAAACTAGCCTTAACGGCTGCAGATTCTGCCAACCTTGCATAAGCAGTTGCTTGGCTGTGCACATTGGATGAATCCGAGACTAATGAAGAAGCATAGATCTTGATAGCAAACAGAAGAAAAATAAATGATTAGGTAATCAGTATCTTCAACTCCACCCACAGGTCATGATCCAGAACATAAGAAGCACATTAGTTTACTCAGTCGGCTAAAACCTTGGAGACCGTAGTTGCGGATATACTCTCAGAACGAGATTGGTCGTTTGAAATCCGAGAGACAGTAGCTGTTGAAACATTTACTACACCGGAAGTTTCAGCCACTCCACTGCCTAGGTTCCCCAGAAAACCCAAGCCAACCAAGGATTAGAAAACCCATCAGCAGGAAAAAGGAGCAATGATCATTGATCAAACTAGAAAAATAGTGAGGACCATAGTTACCATCAGCAGCAGCAGATGGATCAGCAAGATCATCAATCATCCTCCGAGTCATTGGTCCAGGTCTCAAAGTAGAAGCGCTTCTGATCTCATAAAGTATGGTTTCAAGCTGAGTCATCTTATCTTGAAGCTCCTTGTGAACCTAAATGGCTCAAAATATTGAGGCGTTGATCAAAATCAGCATCACCTCCCATTAGAAACACACCCATAACCTACATTTCACCAGAAGGTAACGTGTACCTGACGAGCTTGAGACTGCTGCATTAAACTCTCGAACTGGCCGCGGGCCAATTGAACGTAAGCAACCGCTCGACCAACTAGCCTCCCTCCAGTCCTCGCTATCACAGGCAAATCTTTTGGTCCTGATTGGACACATTTCGTTTAAAAATGTCAAAATCCCTAAATGCTCCAACACTGCAAATTTCTTTTACCAGCGATTGTTGTGGCCTACAAGCAATTGAAAGAATAAAAGCAAGGAGTTTAAATTACCGATCAGAGCGGCGGTGGCTCCTAGCAAGAGGAAGAGTTCGCCGTAAGAGATTCCGAACATCGTGTTGTGAATTGTGATTTCTCCTCGGAGGGGATTCGAAGTGGTTGGCTGTTTTTACCTGGTTCTACACTGCCGGTGAGAGAAAAACAAAAATGGCGTTTACCCGACTAACGGCGGCGATTTCATTTCACTTGTTTGAATGGGCTCGGATTCACTTGGGCCTTGGCCCAGTTTTTTTGCAGTTCCGGACTTTTGGAACTGAATCACTATTGGTCGCCCTAATATTTTAAAAAAATCGCCATAATTTATACTAAAATTACCTTATTGTCCTCTCATATATTTCGTCACAATTCATAAACCTAAATTTAAAATTGCCGTGAACATCATTCACCAATCCCTTCAACCTGCCGCTGGCATTGTCGAGGATAAAACTACTCACTAGTTTTAGTCAGAGAAACAAGGAAAACCCATTACCAAACAACAAGAGCTCCATCAACGACTTTCTCGTTGCTCACTTCTCAGCAGCATCTCTTCATCAACTCACCACCACAAAAAACCGAATACAATATATCCACCTCTCAGTTACAAGCCCTCCCTCCATTAACTCATTTTCTCACCGCCTCTACAGCTGCCGGCAACGGAGCATTCAATGTACCTCACCAGAGGACTTTCTCAACTTCCATCACCATCAGCATCAATCAAGTCTGGCCTCTGATTCACGATATCAGCCAGCAGCACAAGGAAGATATATGCAGTTATGGCGAACCTCTAAGCACAGCCAATAGACGTACTGGAGAGGGGGGCAGGCAGGGGAAACAGTCTCAGCCAGAGGCCATAAATCCGCCGCCCAAACCACTAGAAAATCGACCAGTCAGCGACGGCAGCCGAGTATTCCATTCCCTGATAGAGAGAGTAGAGAGGATAGAGGGATCAGCCAGAGTTAGGAAGGTAAATCCAGCGGAGTCACAACTAACCTGATCTGCAGAAGATTTCCATAATAAAGGCAAGAAGAGGGCACCTGAGATAAAGACAGATCGGAGCCGTCAAGCAATCATCTCCATTTATTACAAGCCCAGACTGTGGCACAAAACCACTGGCAATACTAAATGCCGGGGAGAAGTACACAAGGCACAACCTGCAGATAGCGACCCAATAAGCTCCAGACCGTCCAGAGAAGTAATAAATGTCTGGCCAAGCAGACTCCACAATTGGCAATTAAGAGGATGTCTGACAATAACATTAGAGGAAGGAGAAGAAAGGGGAGGTACAAAAAGGAGGTTAGCATTCAATGCATGGAAGAAGACGGAGAGACTCAGGCGAGAAGGGATCCTAGCCTATATAAAGCAGGGAGTAGAGGAACCACATCATCCTCACCACCAGAATACATACCAGAGCAACCAAGCTGATTCCCACCCCCTACAGTTTTCCCACGATACAAAATCAACCACCAAAATGGAGAACAACACACTGAATGTAAGGGAGAAAAGAGCCACCTGATCCTGAACATCCGGCCAACTATTGTCGGAGCTAGAGGCATCGGAATGTCAATGCTACTAGGCAAGTGGGTCACAGACTCGAGCATCAACCTACACAAGGCTAGAAATGCTGCGATCGGCAAGTGGAGGGCTTATGGGGAGGTGCAAGCAACCAAAGAAGCAGAAAATCTCTTTGTCTATACCTTCCAATCTCAACAACAAAGAGATGCGGTCTATGATGCAAGGCCTTGGAATCTCAGAAACACCTTCATTGCTCTGAAGAAATGGGATGAAGAACAGAAGGCCGAGGCAGAGGACATCCAAACTGTCACTCTGTGGGTGCAGATGCACGATCTACCCCAGTCCCTAAAAGATGATGAAGCAATCCAAGCACTGGCGGAATACATCTTCCCTCAATATCACTGTTTAGACCAGTCGAATCTCGACTTCAGAGGATGGCCCAAGTTCATCAGAGCCAAGGTGGAGGTCCAACTCGATCAACCCATCCCTATTGGGTTTGATTTTGAATACCCACTGGGGGAGAAGTCTATCTGGGTTAGCTTCAAATATGAGAGGATAATGGACCTCTGCTACTTCTGCGGACGATTGGGACACCTGATCCACAACTGTCTACACAGAGAAGATCATAGGAGAAGAGGACTAAGCATCGATCCATTGGAAGTATACACAGCAGCACTGAAAGCGGGCCATGACTCGCCGGCGAACACCCCCTCCGGCGTCGTTCAGGGAAAAAGATGGCCAGGGCTCGCCGACCAGCCCTAACCGGCTCATTCAGCAGGCCTGATTCGGGGATCTCGAGGAGACAGTAACCCCTCCCCTGCACCTGACTGGTCAATCGCCCTCCTCGAGCCCACCGGGATTCGCTGCGCTGACTCTGCCAGCTGCAGTGAGAGGAACGGCCTGGACCCAGAGAGGAGAAGTCATAGTACCAACCTCGACCATTGTACCTACCTCGAATGTCCCAACCAGCTTCCTGGAAATGGAGATGGAAGCTACAGCTAGGGCAATGCAGATGTCCCTTGACCTGGGGGAAGGGGGAAGCAACAAAGAGAAGGCAGCGGGCCTATTCGAAATGAGCCGAAGCATATCCCTTGCCAAGCCCATTACTATGCAGCTGAGGAAGCCCACAGCCCTGTCCCAATGCAGCCCACAACAGACCCGAGTCATAAGCCCACTGGAGCAGAGTATCATTCCAATCCAAGAGAAGGAAAGAGTCCCAGGGGAAGAGGAGAACAAGCCCAGACCATAAAAGAAAAGGAAACCGGAGGACTTCACAAGCCCAAGCAACCCACTCCCGCAGTTGGAGAAATCAACTAACATATCTTTGATTCCTTGACCTTTGTTCCAGGTGAAACTGGAAGACCTACCAGAGGAGAAGAAATCTTATAAGGAGGAGGAGCATTGCAGAACTGACAACAGAAGGGAACCAGTCCGGAGAAGGCGAGTCGATCTCTCCGAGGGCAGCGGTGGCACGCCTGAAGCCACCTAACCAGGAATGAGGATCCTCAGCTGGGATTGTAGGGGATTTGGCCAATCCCTTACAAGGAACTACTGTGCTAGGCTCTGCCGCCAGTTTGGCCCTTCTGTGATTTTTCTTATGGAGACCAGGAAGGACGACCCTTTCATGGAGGAAAAAAGAAGAGCCATGAAGTTTGATCACTCCAAATATGTTAGCCCTGCAGTAGAAGGTAGTGGACTAGCGCTATGGTGGAAGGAGGAAGTAGAGGTCTGAGTAATAGATGTGTGTAAATCCTATATGGATGTAGGAATTAGTAAGGAAGGGGTAGAGTTCTATTGTACTTTTGTTCATGCTCCCACCACGGCGGTGGAGAGGAGGAACCTATGGGATCGACTTACGACCATTAGGGATTCTCCGGAAGATAGTTGGTTGATTGTAGGGGATCTGAATGTTGCACTGCAACCTTTTGAAAAACAGGGGCGGTGCCCCCTTAGGAATGAAAAATGTTGATCCTTTCAAGTACTTCATCTCGCAGAATGCACTAATCGATTTGGGTTTCTCAGGACAGGTCTTCACTTGGACCAATAACCAGCAGGGACCCGACCTGATTAGAGAAAGACTTGACAGGGGCCTTTGCTCAGCCTCATGGAGAATCAGTTTCGGAGGGGCCACTGTGTACCACGAAGATTTTGTTGAATCTGATCATTGTCCTATCAGAATTGATCTACACCCGAAGAAACAGGACAGGAATACACCCTTCCGATTTGATAAAAGATGGAGAGAAAATGGGGAATGTAGCCAGATCATTGACAATAATTGGAACAATGGGGGGAAAATTCATGAGATCCTCGACAAATGCAGGGATGATCTTCGCCGATGGTCAATCAAGGACAGAGCCAACAAAATCAAGAGGGAAAAGAAATCAGATGAAGACTCCAAGAATTAAAAGGGCCAAACAGGGATCCCATGGCTATTGTAGAGGAAAGGGATCTGCTTCAGGAGCTTGACAAAGCCTGGAAACTTGAAGAAGAGTTCTGGATTCAAAGATCCAGAAATAGTTGGCTCCAAGAAGGAGACCAAAACACGGGGTTCTTTCATGCCAGTACACTCAAAAGAAGAAGCAGGAATAGAATTGTGAAACTGAAAAATGAGGAAGGGAGGGGGATCAACAACAGCCAAAACCTTGAAGAACACGTCAACGGGTTTCTATACCAACCTTTTTACAAGTAGGTCGGAGCCTTTTGACCATGATACTCTTACTGATTTCCCCTTCTTGGTCTCCCCTAAGGACAATAGGGTTCTCAATGCTGACCTTGGTAAAGAGAAAATCCGGAAAGCTGTTTTCCAACTTGGAGCCAACAAAGCACCAGGCCCGGATGGCTTTCCAGGACACTTCTTCAGAAGGTACTGGAACCTGATTGGAGATTTGTTTTGCGAGGAGATTATTGAGTTTTTCAGCACCAATGTGATGCCACCCAGCTGGAATGATACGTACATCACGATTATCCCCAAGGTTGAAGCCCCGGAGACTATTGGACAATTCAGGCCAATCAGCTGCTGTAATTTCAGGTACAAGGTTATCACTAAAGTCATATCCAACAAATTACAACCTCTCTTACCGAAGCTGGTCAATGAACTTCAAGCAGCTTTCACAGGAGGGAGACAAATTCAGGATAACATTGTGATTGTACACGAAGTACTTAACTACTTCAAGAAACACAAAACTGGGACTCAGAAAAAACATGATGATGAAGCTCGACATGAAAAAAGCCTATGACCTTGTGGAATGGGATTTCCTTATTGAGTTACTCAGAGCTTATGGTTTCAATGAAACATGGTGTGGTTGGGTTAGAACCTGCATTTCATCAGTGAAGTTCAGAATCCTCTTCAATGGGAACCCTACTGAGGAATTCACCCCATCTAAGGGCATCCGTCAAGGGGATCCTCTCTCCCATCTTCTCTTTATCCTAATGAGCAACGCACTATCTTTCCTTATTGATAAAGCTGTCCAGAGAGGAGATCTAAGAGGTTTGAAGCTCAACAGATCTTGCCCTTTGCTCACACACCTGTTTATTTGCTGATGACACCGTCATTTTTTGGCAAGGCTTCAATAGTGGAAGCTTCAAGAATTCTTAGCATTATCAATGAGTATGGTTCAATAACAGGTCAAGAGGTCAA